TACTTTATATGCAGAAATAATTATGTCAAAAGCTAAGTTTAGCTAAGATTGTCAAAGATTCACTTTTGGAAAGTAAAAATTTTAAATTTTGTATGAACTTACAGAACCTCGATTTGTTTTTACTGACATAACATCAGGGCAGTATGTGTATTTTAAGACAGCTTGTGCATGTGCCCTTGAGACTAGTTGGTGGATGCATTTTTATCAAAACCATATACACAGAGACATATTAAATGTATCATATTATTATACTAATCATATGACTCTAGAAACAAAAGTAACCAGAGGACTAAAGCCTATCAAAACCATCTTTTTGTTTTTGTACAATGAGATTCTTTTAAAATTTGCCAGTGAATTCATACCAGTATTGAAACCAGATGTAGACTTCCGTCTTTTAATGTATTAGCTCAGCTATAAAAGTCTCATTTCATCCCTGATTACTGAGTGTTTCATTCATGGTTTATTATCTCTTTCCCACCCTCTTTTATTTATTTATTTATTTTGTTAAAACTAAAAAATGTGATTTAAATGATCTTAAAATGACATTACCCTCTTTGCATAGTGACAGAAATAAAATGAAACCTCTAGTGTATTGAAGGTAACCTAATTAAGTCAGCAAATGAAGTACTTTGTTGGTAAAATTTTTCATTGGAAATTATTCTTGACAGATATCATTAAAAGATGTGTTCGCTGTAGTTTAGAATGGATCTAGAAGTTTTTCATCTTAGAACTGAAATCTTACATTACCTCCTTCTGTATAAAGCAGACCCTCTTTCCTGTGTGTGTTTTTTAAATGTTTTCATTATAAGCCTGACCATTTTGAAATGGTTGGATATGGGTCTATCTGAAGTGATGAAAAGTTTTAGAGAAGTGAAAAAAGATACTCCTTTAAATTTTATATACTATTGGGTATAAGTAGTTCTATTTTGAAATAGAAATCAAGCCACTTTTGGTAACTAGCTGTGTTTATATGTAAATGAATTTTTAAAAACATTTAAAGGCTGGAATCAAACCCAGGACCCTTCAGTCCACGGGCTAAAGCTGTAACCACTGAGCCAAACCAGCTAGGGCCCTCCTTTCCTCTCTTTAAAACAAGAAAGTCAGTCTGTATCTAAAAGATACAAAATAAACTTCCAGATCAAGGCCTACTGTGTTCCGTCCAACACCAGCACCTGTCTCCTTCCTTTCTTACTCTTCTTTGGTGACACAAAATTCTTGTAGGGCAGCTTAAATGTTAACATAGATATTGCTCTTATCCCAGGTTCATTTGCTACCATAGATATTTCAAAGAGACGAGGTAAACATTTATTTCTCCAAATTTGTTAAGATTTACCTGCATTTTGGCACTTAGAAGGCTGAAAGTTGGCCCATCATTTTATCATTTTTCTTGTTTTAAAGAAAATGGGCCTTACTTGACTTCTAAGTCGCATTTCATAGCCATTATATTTGAATTGCTCTATTGACAGTCTTTCCTTTTTCTGGACAGTGAACTACTTTTCTTGCTCAGGGCCTAATTTTAATGCCAGTTCCCTTTTCCTTCCCGAATTAATTGCTCTCAGCTGTGGTTCATAATAATTTACTAGAAATTTTTTAATTGAATGTAGAACAGGTGCTCAATAGATGTTTCTTTCAATGAGTGAATGTTATCTAGAGCTTTTTGGAAAACAATTCTGCACCCTTAGATCATCTTTACCCATGGTTTACACTCCTGTCTGCCACATGTGCTGTTAATACTCAGCAACATTGTGAACCATGTGGGATAATTTTATAATCGATACCTCATTGTTTAATTTGCTTTTCTTTGATAATTAGTGCAGTTTAATGTTTTCCATGTATGTTACTCAACTCTATTTTTAGTTTGGTGAATTGTGTGTTCATTTTTTGCCTATTTATTTATTGGGATTTGATTGTTTTTTTCTGAGGATTTATGTGAACTCTTTATAGTCGAAATAATTCTATACATTAAATATCTTACTCTGTTTGCTCTGAATATTTTTCTAAGCTTACAGTTTTCATGTAGACAAAGCTAATAAATCCTCGTAGTTCTTTGTTTGCGTTTTTCATTGTAAACTGCTGTTCCTGCCTGCTGATGTGATACTTTGATTTTCTTCTCTTTTTATTTAAATATTTTTAAAGTGTTGATCTGTATGTTTGTTTTAGTGGGATTAAATATCTGTTTTCAATAAAATACTCAGAAAGCCACCTATAACTTCCTCGGTTGAGGTTACTTCCCGGGCCAGGTGAGCTCATTGACAGGTGTCCACGTATCAGTGTGAATGACTGGATAGTGCGGCATTTTTTGATTAGGGCAGAATGTGAAGTGACCCCCTGAAGTAAGGAGAGGGTTTATTATAAAGAGAGAAGAGCATAAGGCAGAGGGACTTTATAAATGTCACATACTTGCTTCAGATGCGCCCTCTCCACTTGAACAGTCCAGGGCCGAGTGCAGCTCTGCCCTCAGGGGCTCCTGTGTAAGCTCCATGCGGCCTGGGACTGGCGTTTCCTCACCACCTTGAGCAGAGCTGTAGGAGAGGGCTGGTGAGGTGCAGGTATTTGTTGAAAGAATAAAACAATAGGTGTCCACATTAATGTGAATTTACTTAGTTGTTGAGTAAAGACTGTGAGGATCTTTTTTTAATGTATCATAGAATCATGGAGTTTGAGTGAATCTTTGAAACCATCTAGCAAAGCCAGAGAGAGTCCATCAGTCAGTGTATCTCCCGCAATCTTCCTCTGGTCTTGCTGTGGGTTTGCCCAGTGGCACGTGCTTTACAGCATCACAATCAGATAGAGATCCCGAGACTCTGAAATCTATGGGTCTATTTAATTCTGAAGTTTCTCTAGCACAGCTCTGAAACAGGGCACAGGAACGGAGATGACACATCGAAGAGTTAATGAAGGGTCGGTGGCACATCGGTCAGACACAGTGGAGAGTTAAGAGGGTAAAATTTGAAGTTTAGGCAACTGAGAAGGTCCGCTGTGAGGCGATTAAACGGCACGGTTTTATGGGCTGGTGCTGCTGTTGTAATGCCCCCAAGCTCTTTAATCTTCACACCAGGAGTTGGGGGTGGGAGAGGAGAGAAAACCAAGGCAGATTGACAGTATCGCCACCTTGCACACCTTCTACAGTGGTGCAGTGCGGCGGCCCTGAACAATACCTCTTCCTCCCCTCTCCTTGGTTGCAAATCATTAATTTAGAAAGACTGGGAACATCAGATGTGGTATCTTATTTCTTTTCATAACTACAAGTCTGCATTCATTCATTCATTCATTCATTCATTCATTATCACATGCTAACTGTATGCCAGGCATGGTCCCAAGTACTGCAGATACATTAGTGAACAGAACAAAGATCCCTGCTTGTGTGGACCCTTTTCTTAGTGCAGTGGTGTCTAACAGAAACATAGAATGAGCAGAAACATAAAATGTACTGCTATAAACGTTTATGTTTGAGTACCAGCTTTCAGTTCTTTTGAGTGTGTAACTGGGAATAGAATTGCTGGGTCATATGGTAATTCTATGTTTAACTTTTCTTTTTGACGTTTTGAGGAACTAAATATTGGTTTCCACAGTGCTGTACAATATTGCGTTCCCACCAGCAATGTATGAAAGTTATAATTTCTTCACATCCTTGCTAACACAGTTTTCTATTTTTTTGATTATAGCTATCCTAGTGGGCATGAAGTGGTACCTTGTTGTAGTTTTGATTTGCATTTCTTCATGGCAAATGATGATGATGTTTAACATCTATCTTTTTATGTGTGGCCATTGGTATATTTTTGGAGAAATGTCTATTCAAGTCCTTTGCCTATGTTTAAATTGGATTGTCTTTTTGTGTTGGGTTATAAGAGTTCTTTATATAGTCTAGATTCTAGACCCTTATCAGATATAAGATTTGCAAATATTTTCTCCCATTCTGTGGGTTGTCATTTCACTTTATTTTTATTTTTATGCTGATTCAGACGAATTTACTGAGAATTTGACTGACACATCCACAACTTTATCATGATGAATCTGGGGGCGGGGAAAAATCCAAAAGTAATACATACTTGGTGTCAAGTTTCTGAAAATGTCCCAACACGCGTCATCCAGGGCAGACTGCTGAAGGTGGCTTGTGGCTTTCATTTTCTTCCCCCAGGTTTCTGGGGCCAGGGCTGAAGCGCAGTGATTGGGAGGTTGGGGAGCACATGAGGACTGAAGCAGTGGGGAGGTGCGCCTCTCAGCCCTGGGATGCCAGCCAGGCAGCAGAGAGCGTAAGGCCGGTGTCTCCTGTAGCTGAGCCGGAGCCCCAGCCCCAGCCCCAGCCCTTGGGGGAGTAGGTGTTGCTGTAGCCACAGCCCATGCTGTGCCACGGGGTAGCCGCAGCTGCCCCAGTAGCAGCCTGGCAGGATGGCCCGGAGAAGGTGCCTCAGCACAGGGTGTCGGACTGGAGGGCTTGGGAGCAGGAGAAAGCCTTTCCTCCGAGTGATGATCTCATTTCACTTTCTTAATAGTGATCTTTAACGCACAAAATTTTTAAATTTTGAGAAGTCCAGTGTATCAATTTTCACACTTGTTTCTTGTACCTTTGATGTCATAGTTAATGATCCATTGCTAAACCCAAGGTCATGAATATTTACCTGTATGTTTTATCCTAAGAATTTTATGGTTTTAAATCATATTTAAGTTGTTGATTCATTTTGAGTAAATTTTTATATGTGGTGTGAGATGAGGTCCAACTTCATTTTTTTGCAAGTCAAATTCCAGTTTTAAGGCATGAACTGCTGTGGAGCTGGTGGCTGATTCCAGTAGTTTTCACATTCTACATAGTCTTTATATTTTTACCTTTTTAATAAGAGTGACAGAGAATATGTGTGGGGGAAAAGAAGCTTCAGTGTTTTACCTTCTAGCCTTTTCTTAGAGGTTTGATGGTCTTCAGAAAGCAGTGCTTATCACCCTGCTCTTTTGTACGAGTCCATCCACATGGCATTTCAATCAAGTTTTTAAAATATTTCTTACAGTTAACAGAAGACGAAATTGCAACTATTCTTAAATCTACTTTGAAAGGACTAGAATATTTACACTTCATGAGAAAAATACACAGAGATATAAAAGCTGGAAATATTCTTCTCAATACAGAAGGACATGCAAAATTGGCTGATTTTGGTGTGGCTGGTCAGTTAACAGTAAGTGTAATAATTTTGGAAATACTTTTGGCTTATATATGCAGGTTTGATTGTGACTAAACTTTAATAACTTTTGGGGAGTATGGAAAGAAACGTATAACTTCATTGTTCTTGGGTAGAAGGAGCTATCATTTGAGAATTATCTGTTAGTTTTATATACAACTTAAGAGACATTGAGTAAATACCAAAATATATGTAGTCATTGAAATGCTTAAATGTTAGAAAAGGCAAGCTACATGGGCCCATTTATGTAGCTTTCGTTGTACAGTACTGTTTTTAATGACAATAGTGGAGATAAGTTACTTGTGGACTCGTGGTTATTTTAGAATTCAAAATTCCTAGATATGTCATGTCATCACTAGTTGAAATTTTAGGAAAATGGTCAATTCATCTGTAATCTGTAGTATTTGAGGGTTTCACATACATGGTTTTAAGAATATGCTGGCAAACAGATTCCTCAGTAATTCTGTACTAGTATTTATGTCCGTGTAACATTTTTGCAGGACACAATGGCAAAACGCAATACTGTGATAGGAACTCCATTTTGGATGGCTCCTGAAGTGATTCAAGAAATAGGCTATAACTGTGTGGCTGACATCTGGTCCCTCGGCATTACGTCTATAGAGATGGCGGAAGGAAAACCTCCTTATGCTGATATCCATCCAATGAGGGTAAGAAAATGATGGTTTTCTAAAAATGTCAGTGTCATAAGTGTGGCAGTGTTGTGATGTCAGTGGAAGTAAATATAAAGTAAATTAAATATGTTCATTTGATTTAGGTTCTGTGCAAAAGTGGTAAAATTATCTGTCAAAGATTAGTGACTGTTAACTCTCTCCCCCACTCCAAATTCTTAATTGTGAGGAAAGAAGTGAAGGCTATCTCTTTCTCTCTACAATCACTGTTTCCCGCCCCAAAAGATATGCCTGTAAAAACTTCCCTCACTTTTTAGTAGAAGAAAGGGTTGGTCAGTTCACTACGCTGTCCAGTTCATGGTTTTCCCGACGTGGCAGTGGAGGCATTGGAAGAAATCAGTTCTTTTTTTTCTACTCACCCTGCAAATTCTGCCTTTCTGTGTTTTTGTTTGTTTGCTTTTAAAAAAATCCTCACCAAGGTATATGTTTATTGACTTTAGAGAGAGAGAGAGGAAGGGAGAGAGAGAGAAACATTGTCTCCCATATGTGCCCCAGCCCAGAATCGAACCCTCAACCTTCTGGTGTACAGGATGGCGCTCCAACCCACTGAGCCACCTGGTCAGGGCTGCCTGTCTGTTCTTGTTTCTCCCCCTTTTCTTCACATCTAATATTTTTAAAATCCTGATTTCTAATATTGCAATGTACTTGTAAGCAAGTTACTTTTATTTCTTTAGTTAGTGCTCAGTGAGAAAATGCCCTGTCTTTTTATTGAACACTATTATATGTTCTGGGAACTCCTTTTCTGGGATAATTTTTGAATTTGAAGTTCATACCTTGCATATTCAAGCCTAATTCCTGTGCTCTAGGGTTTGTGATCATACAGTCTTTACATTTATTGGTATGTGACTCAACTCATTATAGATAGTACATTTATCTTTGTAAACTTATTGCCCTCTAGTGGCTGTAGTCATCTCGGGAAGAAGGGATATAGGAATAAAGGGCAAAGAGAAAGGGGGAGAGAGGAGTGTGTGTGTGTGTGTGTGTGTGTGTGCGCGCGCGCGCGCCCACGCGTGTGTAAAGCGGAGAAGACCGTGTCCGGGTGCCTGGAGAAATGCCTGAAGGCAATAGTTGGGAGGAAAAATAGTGCAGTATTTTAGAGTATCTGGAGAAGGGTAAATTGTAATTATTTCTGATGTTACAGTGTTGTTACAGATTCAATTTCAATACTAAAGGCAACTGAACTATGCCTAAAATATTTAAAAATTTCGGGTAACCCAGTGGTGTAGAATGTGTATCATCCGCCTTCTGCATATGAATCCTTTGCTAAGTGAAAAATAAAAACCACATCAATTATTTGTTTGATAAGAGCTTGAAAACTATGTACAAGGTCAGCATAAAATCAGTGACAGATTCTCATTTCTCATCTGATTACCTTATCATTAGTTATCTTTGATACTTTTAGTTGGAATGTTTTTGGGGTGACCCTTGAACTGGGTGTGTTTGAGTTTGACTTAGTGAGTGAGGTAAACTAAATTGTCCAAGGCAACCTGCTAAGTGCCGGAGCTGGGACTTATCCCAGGACTTAGATTATTACTGCCTGCTTCCTCCTTGTGTAAACCTTATTTTTTCCATTCAAATAGTGTATTTAGGAGTTAGCAAAGAATTGTAATACATGGCCCCTACCTTCCAGCATCTTAAAATATCACTTGACAGTTTGAATGAACACATACGAAGTAGTAAGAATATACTTGAAGATATTATATCTCTTTAAGTTCTGTCTAGCTAATCTGTCTGTCAGTCAGACTTCCTAGGATGCATTCACTTTTTTCTACCAATCAAAATTCTACCCATTTTTCAAGTCCCATCTGAGTTTTTATTTCTAGGTAGAGCCTTCCTTGACAGTTGCTACCTAAGTGGATTTCTCTTTTCCCTCATAATTTATGTATAGGCAACTCTTGACTCTTTAGTCCTTTGGATAGTTTATCAGGTGTCACCTTCTGCGTTTCCACAATAGACTGAAGATGCGATTGATGGAAAGACCACTACAAAAGATGAGGCAAAGAAAGCTGTTTCTTTATATATATGTTTTTATTGATTTCAGAGAGAGGAAGGGAGAGGGGGAGAGAGAGAAACATCAATGATGAGAGTTATTGATCGGCTGCCTCCTGCACGCCCCCGACTGGGGATGGAGTCCACAACTTGGGCATGTGCCCAGACTGGGAATCGAACCATGACCTCCTGGTTCATAGGTCAATACTCAACCCGGGTCGCTAGTTCTTTTAATGTAAGTAAAGGCTATTATACAATTACTGCATATAGATGGCTTTCTAGAATAGGAGGCTAAGTTAGGATGTGGTGGGCCAGGTTCCTGAGCCTCCACATCCGGGGGCTGCCCGGCCACTGTTGATATTGCCTGCTGGAGAGGGGATTCTAACCAGTCTATCGGCAATTACCTTTAGCCTGTCTTGCAAGAGTGTACCTCTTTCTACTATGCCTGCCCTCTAGATGCATGTAAATAGGAACAACTCCAGAACAGTGATGCTGAGTCCAAGGCTGAGTGAACTAGGGATTGGCTTCCCAGTCATTGTCTCAGGCCTACCACCCTTTCAGGATGCCTGTTCTCCAGGTCTGCTGGAAACCCGCGCTTGCATAGGCCGGCAAGAATTAGGGACAAGAAGAGGTGCATCAGCTTGGATACTTTAGAACAGAATTGCTCCTGCTGAATAGTCACTGGTTTACATTGTGCTTTTTACTGATGAAGCTTTTGAAAAACATATTTTGAGTGTCATAGCCTGAGGGATCTGAAGAACTTAAAGATGGTACTAAATTAGAAAATGAGAGTAATTGTATTAAGTTGGAACTTGGCAGTGAACTGAGAGTGGGTCTTCTGAAGGTGTTAAGGCTGAGGTCATTTGTTGTACATGCTTTTCGTTGATTTATCGGGTATCGGTACTTGGATCATTCCCGAGAGAGAAGGAGAGGTAGGTAGAGTGTAGATACTTGGGGAATTTCCTAATAAAAAGAGCTATGGAAAAGACTGGGTTTGTTGCATGGCAAGGAATGAACTAAATTTTTTCATTTGGATACAGCTCTCTCTCTTTCTTTAAAAGAGAAATTTGTAGGGTGTGCAAGCCAAACCTTCAGTGTAGTAGATAGTAACAGTTATCTGTGTAGTAAAGGGCACCGCGGGGACACACACTGAAACCTGTAGAACTTTCTAAGCAGAGGACTGGAAATGTGCTTATACATTTATAGCCAGCTGTTAGATTAAAATTAATGAGTGATGGCTAATGGAAGTAAATCTATCTGCTCAAAATGTTAACTGAAACAAATTTTATTAAAACCCAGTTTATTTTTAAAAGTTAAATGTGAGGTCACCAAATTAATTTTGGTAAGTTAAATAAATAAAAGATTTAAAAAAATTAATTTTGAATTCAGTTAACCACAGAACTCTGTGGAGAGCAATCTTCTCAGCCCTTGAGCAAATAGAATTACAAAAAAATCAGGAAATGAGTGAACAGTATCATTTTTCTAAATATCTATCACCGTATCCCCCCACCAAACCTAAGCACTTCTCCGTAGACATCACTAAGACCCTCCTGATTATTAGCACAGCTTTGCTTTGCTTTGCTTTGCTTTGCTTTGCTTTGCTTTGCTTTGCTTTGCTTTGCTTTGCTTTACAAGCTTGTGTGTTTGGTTACCAGTTAGTCAGCGTGGCGACAGGGCTAGGACAGAGCTGCTCGAGTCAGACCAAGGACAGCAGGCAAGGGACCCCCAGATCTGATGTCACCCGAGGAAAAGAAAGTAAAAATAAAACTAAGAGTTTTACTTCTGTACAATATAATACGGAATGTGGTTTACCTTTTAAAAATAAGATGTACAAATCTGTGGTGTATCTTAGGAAGCTTTATGTCATGTGTGACTTAAGGAGAGGCCGGAGGCATTTTACTCACTTGTTATTTGCTCGTGTAGCTCGCACTCCTCTGACCTGAGCTGCGAGGCAGGGAGGCTCACCTGCGCCCCAGGCTCACCCGCCCTCGGGGAGCCCCAGGGGGAGCCCCAGCCCTGCCCGTGCCCGCTCAGAGCCGGGGAGAAGCGCGCGCTGCCCAGCGGCCGCTTGAGGACGCGGCTGGCTTGGGCCTGTCTTTCTTTTCATCACACTTCATCGGAGTTTTCTTTGATTTTTGTTGTTGTCCTTTAAAGCCTCCTGTTCCTCAGGAGCCAGCTCGGCTCCCCGCAGCCCTGGGGGGGCAGGTGGGCTGGGACTCTGGGCCGGGCGCTGCCTGGCTCTGGGTGCGGCGGCTCGGTGCTGGGCGCTGTGCAGGCGTGGTGCCCGCAGCCCTCTGGGCGCTGTGCAGGCGTGGTGCCCGCAGCCCTCTGGGCGCTGTGCAGGTGTGGTGCCCGCAGCCCTCTGCGCCCAGGAGGAGCCGCCCGCTCCCACCGCTGGCACGGCCCCCACTGTGCAACGGGGCCTGGAGGCATTTGGAAGACAAGTGCCCTGGGACTCCCTCGCTGTCCCCTTCACTCCCATTCCCCTTCCTTGGTTTCTCCCCGCAAGTGCTTAGTGCGCGGTTGTCTTGCACGGCTGTCTGTCTTGCACGGCTGGCCATGGAGGACGGGTGCTGAGCGGCAGGGCGCGGCTCCTGCCCTGGGGCTTGGGGTCCAGTGAAAACTGGAGCTGAGGTTGGAGACGCAGCTGTCCTGGGGGAGCGCGGGGTCGGCAGTGCTGCAGTACTTGGGGTGCAGGGCCGCCCCGAGAACCTTCATTCAGTGACATGCGCGCGCTGCAGACTATATCGGCTCCCCGGGCTGCGGGTGGGGTTTTATCGCTGTCATTTCACGTGTCACTGGTTTTCTCCTCTGAACTTTCCCTCTTCCTTTTTCTCACCTTGTCCTTCCCACCTTGACGTCCTCTGTCCCCTGTCTCCCGGCAGCACGGGGACACAAAGGCCCCCCGCTCCCCGTCCCACCTGCTTGCTTGCTTTGTACAGTGCCCCTTCTCTATTCCCTGCACTTTCTGCCTGCTTGTTTTAGGCGAC